ATACACAATAATAATATATAAAATTCAAAATTCAAAAAATATATATACATAACCATTTTTAATTTATAATATATATATATTTATACATATATATATATATATATATATATATATATATATATATATATATATATATATATATATACACGTACGTACCTTGCAGGAGAGGCGGCGAGCGAGGACGACGTAGGGCGACGGCTTAGGACGACGTAGGGCGACTGCGAGGACGACAGCGAGGCAAGGCAGGCACTGTTGCGAGCGAGGCCGAGGACGACGGCTTAGGCGGCGGTGGAGAGCATCGGTGGCGTAGGGCGTTCGGCGGCGGTGGGAGTTTGGAGCAGATGAGTGAGGAGTGTGAAATGTTGAGTTTGGGAGTTTGGGCGCCGATCTGAAATGTTCTAGCTTCATTATTATTTTTTTTTTTAATTTGAGTATACGGCGTCGGCGTTATACGTCGCCGACGCCGCATACCATTTTAATATTTTTTTTTAATTATTGGAGATACGGCGTCGGAGATTAATTCTCCGACGCCGTATCTACTATTTATTTTTTATTTTTTTTTAAAATTCGAGTATACGGCGTCGGCGATATACGTCGCCGACGCCGTATACCATTTTAATTTTTTTATAATTATTCAATACGGCGTCGGAGAATTAACTCCGACGCCGTATCTCTTATTTATTATTTCTTTTTTTTTTTAATTTGAGTATACGGCGTCGGCGTTATACGTCGCCGACGCCGTATACCATTTTTATTTTTTTTTAATTATTAGAGATACGGCGTCGGAGATTAATTCTTCGACGCCGTATCTACTATTTATTTTTTTTTTTAAATTCGAGTATACGGAGTCGGCGATATACGTCGCCGACGCCGTATACCATATATATATATATATATATATATTTTTTTTTTTTTTTTTTGAGATATGGCGTCGGCGACGTATAACGCCGACGTCGTATCTCGTATTTATTTTTTATTTATTTTTTATTTAATATACGGCATCGGCCATACCAAATAACCGACGTCATATGTATTTTTTTAAAAAATAAAAAATAATTTTAAATATTTAATGTCGGATTTTCAAAAAACCGACGTTATAATGTAGACGTTAAATCCGTTTTCTGTAGTAGTGTTGTAATCCCTGGTATGATTTTTCTTTATATTTTGTGTGTTGTTGGTATATATGTTCTTTGGGTGCGTTTGTATGTGATACAAAAATTTGTGTGTGATTTTTTTCTTTTACTTTGTATGTTAGTTGTAGCTAGGGTAGTTGTATATATTATCAAATGAAACTACAGTTATATCAAAATGATACTGTAGTTGTGGTGAAATGAAATTGCAGTGTATATAAAATGAAACTAAATAACATTTCACATATTTGAGTATATGTTGTGCAATGAAGCTGTAGTTATATCGAAATGATCATGTAGTTGTGCTTTTCTGAAATTATAGTGTATATATAAAATAAAATTAAATAACATTTTTACATATTTGAGTGTATAAATATTGAATAAAACTATAGTTATATCGAAATGAAACTGTAATTGTGTTAAACTGAAACTGCAGTGTATACAAAATGAAACTGAATAATAGAGTTACTTTTCGCGGAACGGCGCGAAACGGGTGCCGTTTCTTTTTTCATTAAACAAAACGACGTCGTTTTGAAGCTCGGTGCATAATCGAATATGCACCGCGGTGCACAATATAATTTGCCCAATAGATCCAAATATCCCATAGCACTTAAATATATTATTCTCTATTATTTTTATTTATTTTTTGTTTAAACAAAATCAATATGTAATTTTATTATTATTATTATTACTTGTAATAAGCACCTCTCTCAATCTCATCCAAAAGATCTATTGCTGAGAGTAAGACGCTCGTAGTAAAAATGAGAATGATTTAGTATAACATTCTTCAGTAGAATATTCTCTCCCTCTCCCTCATACCTAAAATTAAACAATTTATTGTTTCAACTTTATATTGTACCTCAACTTTGTCCCAATAAAACCCACCTCATTCCCCAATATCCCTATCAAAATATATAGAATTATGGTTATATTTAGTAATTAAAAACGAGATTTACTTTTTGCATAACATTTCTCTCTATTATTACAAATTTCAATTGTAATTTAAAATTTATGTATTTATATTGTTATTCACGCCTATATATATGTGTAGCTTATTAGTGAACCTATAAAATTTGCTTGATATGCAATATATAAGATCTGATATAACCTTTGAGAAAGTGTTATAAGTTTTTAACTTACTTACGAATGAAAAGATTGAAAAGTCTATTCACCCTCTCTAAATTTTATGTATTTATATTGTTATTCACACCTATATATATATATATATATATATATATATATATATATATATATATATATATATATATATATATATATATATATATATAGCTTTTTCTTTTCACGTTACAAATTTTGCAAAAATATTGAAAAGTCTATTCACCATCTTTAAACTTTTCTTCATATTCAACCGAGAGTCTGAGACCATCACGATATATTGACAAAAATATATAATATATTTTTTATACATTGATTTTATTTAAACAAAAAGAAATAGAGAATAATATATTCAAGTGATGAATCGAATCAATTAATGTCATTTTTATGAACATGCAATATTGATTTTATGAAGCTAATTTTTTTTATGAACATATGATATTACTTTTATGAAGCTCAATTTATTAACATATATTTTTTAGGAAAAATGTTCAAATTAGTCACCTAACTACACAAAAATACAAATGGACCATTTAAGTAAAAAAAAAAAAAAAAAAAATTTACAGTTATGTTTTCGAACTCTCCAAAATAATACAATTCAAAAAAATTTGACATGTTTCTCCTATTTTTGTCATCGCCCGAGGTCATCTTATTAAAATATTACGTTTTAAAAAAATATTTTAATAATTGTAAATAAAATAATAGAAAACAAAAACAAAAAAAAAAAAAAAAAAAAATTGTTTCGTTAGTTGTACTTGCGTTTGTCTTCAGAATTCGTTCCTCTAGTTTCATAATTTTTTAACTCTATTTTTACAATTTTAGATCTCAATATACAAAATTACAGAACTCAATGTTCATAATTGCAGAACTCTATATTCACAATTACAGACCTTTATTTACACAATTACAGAACTCTATATTCACAATTAAAGAACTCTATATTCAACAGTATAACACAATTTTTTGAATCTATATTCACAATTTTTGAATTTTATATTCATAGTTTTTGAATCTAGTTTCATAATTTTTGACCTCTAGTTTCATAATTTTGAACAATATTTTCACACACCAAAAAAAAAATCATTTGCTGAGGAACGGTGCCAATACGGCACCATTATTCTAGACGCGCGTTTTGGACCTAGGTCCACCTCATAATTTGTCCCAATTTTGACTTATTTGACTAGAGTTAATTCCAGCAATGGTCCTCTGACTATGTTGATTTTCCACAATTGGTCCCTGACTTTTAATTTGGACAATTTAGACGCTTCACTTTTGAAATCTTTCTAATGTTGGTCCTTCCGTTAGATGAAAGTTAAGTAAATGTTAGTTTGAGGGGTAAAACAGTCATTTCACCAACTTAGATATAATCCATCGTCTTTCAATTCTCAGCTTGCGAAGTTCAACCAAGATTTAAGGAACATGTTGGACCGCCAACTAAGCGAAGCCACTGATGGCTGTCCATTTCTCAAGTTTGCACTAAAATACAAGTGCACCAGATTTCAACACCATATATGCACTAGTGCAGTGCACACCTGATTTGTCTGTTCAATGTTGCAGTGCACACTTAAGCAATACAATTTATTACATATCGATCATATTCTCGAGTAATATATTTACTGTTAATCATCATTCAATTCCAATATATACAAGATATGTAGAGTTTTAGTATAACTATAATACTATAAAGGATAAAGATGTATTATCCTAGTATAATATCTTTAATAATATCCACATATATTTATTTACAACATATAATCAATTTGATATTGAGTTTTGAAATTAAATTAGCCAATTAATCTACTCACGAACTTATGAACGAGTTTATAAATTTTAAAAGGGAAAATGGCACTTTTTCCCGCTATGTTATATGCTTATAGAACTTTTTCCCCCTGAGTTATTCATGCATCCACATTTGCCCCCTCAATTATTATAAAAGTGGCGGTTTTTCCCCCTGATAATATTAAATAGACATTTTTACCCTTAAAATACATATTTTATTTATTTCTCTTGTTCAACAAATTATTGTTTATACGTAGGGATGGCCACGGTTCGGTTCGAACTGAACCGAACACTATAGCAATCAAATAAAAAAAAATTCGGTTATGATTCATAACATAACCCAATATTTGGGTTTCCGTTTATTAAAATTGTAAAGTGGAAAAAAATAGATTCTGAACCGTGAACCAGAGGTTCAAATCGGAACAACTACTAGCAATAGCTTAAAATTAGAATTATAATATTTGCAAATAGTGTATTTTTTTCGCATTTATATTGACTCTCACATATAAGTATATATAATCGCGATTTGGTTTTTATTTTGAATCATTGTTTCACAATTTCGGATCCAATTTGAACTGTTGGTTCAAACATTATTTTAAAATTTTATTTTTTTTTATTTTTAAAGTATTCTAAATTCAACAATTAATGTATTTTATTTTTTCAAATTGTAGTTATAATTTGTTGGAGAAGTAAAATAAATGAAATATTTATTTTAAGGGTAAATATGTCCATTTAATATATCAGGGGGGAAAATTGCCACTTAAATAATATAAGGGGAAAAAGTGCTATAAGTATATAACACAGGGGGAAAAAGTGTCATTTTCCCATTTTAAAATATTTTTTTTAGTACTACTAACTCTGTTACAATACAGTATCAGTACAAAGAGTCATTATTGCCTCTATCACTTTGAAATTTGAAATTAATTGTGCATAGTCTAATAACTACCAAATTAAACCGCACCAGGGAAGCGGACCAAACGATGTGCGAAACGAGTGAGTGAATAACCCTGAAACCAGAACCCTGCCGTCCGCACTCCACAGTCCTCGCTGTGCCCCTCCCCCTCTCATCTCTCAACTACAGAAACTGCGCCCCCGTCGTCAAAGAAGAAATGGCTAAGAACCGACCCGAACCCGCGAAATCTGTCGATACGGACGAGGAATCCGAGCAAGAGGAGGAAGAAGCTTCATCCGACGAGAATGGAGGTTCCGATTCCGAGCCAGAGCCACCCTTGACCCAGGTTTCCAGGACTCCGGTCACTAAAAAGCCGTCTGCCTCGGCTCCCAAGAAGCCCGAACCCAAACGCGTCTCGTCCTCTGAGGAATCCGATTCTGAATCTGACGGCGATTCCGATTCCAACCCCAATGTCAAGCCCATCGCTTCCAAGCCCATGGACGACCCCAAGGCTCCTTCCGCCGCCGCTACGCCGACTAAGAAGCCCAGATCCAAGCCTGCTGCTCCTAGACCCACTTCTCCGACCAAATCCGCCGCCGGAACTAAGCGGCCAGCCGCCGACGGTGAAGCCAAGGAATCGAAGAAGTCCAAGAAGAAACCGAGTGGTGAGGTTGAGAGTTCGGGGGTTAAGAAATCGATGACTGAAGACTCAAAGAAGAAACCCACTGTTGAGGTTGAGAATTCTGCTAAGAAATCACTCACTGAAGACTCAAAGAAGCAACTTTTTCAAAGACTCTGGAGCGAGGAGGACGAGATTGCTGTTCTGAAGGGCATGATCGCTTATGCAGAAGAAAAGAATGCTGATCCAGTTACTGACTTGAACGCTTTCCATGATTTTATTCGAGAATCTCTGCACATTGATGTCACCCGGACTCAATTGCAAGACAAGATACGGAGGCTGAAGAAGAAGTATGAAAACAACGCACGTAAGGAAAAGAAAGGAAAGGAGAGAACTTTCTCCAAAATCCACGAGCAAAATGCGTATGATTTGTCCAAAAACATATGGGGTAGCCTTAAAGCCCAGAATGGGAGTGTTGTTAAAGCTGCAGAAACCTCGAAAGCTAGTAATGCAAGTGCAAGGAAAGACCGGATTAAGAATGCTGTTATTCCTGTTAAGGCTTCCACTGTAGCAGCAGCTGAGGTGGTTGATCATGTTTTGGATGAAGAGAAAGAAGCTAACGCAAACATGGATGTTGATACCAATGTGGAAGGTTCCAAGAGTTTGAATTTGAGTGGAGGAAGTCTCTTTGGGAAGTCATTGAATGAGTTGGCAGAGTGGATTGATAAGAACAAGGTTGGGCTTAGCGAGGAAAAATTGATTGAGATGGAGGGGAAGTGGAAGGCCCTTAAAGTAGCTGAGCTCGAGCTGTTCTTGAAAAAGGCTGCCTTGATTCAGGAGCAGGGAAGACTGGTTCTGGATGCACTGAAATAGGTTTGCAGGTATATTATGTTAACGGGGTGGCTAATATCGTTTTGTGCTTATAGGTCTATTTTGATGATGTTGGCTTTCTGCATTTACTATTTACTTTTCGTCTCAATTAACTAGCGGACGACTGGTGGTAGATCATGGTAGTAGAGGTTATTGTGTTTATTACATTATTTGAACTAGAGTACTTTATTGACATTCTAGCTTTGTATTAAGCTCACATGAATCTGCTCTTGACTCCTGTTGTTGTTTCCCGTTTATATCATCATTTATTACCGTTTTAGTTATAGCTTCTTTAATGTTAGCTACATTTCAAGCATCTCGACAATTATCATTCTTTCTGTTGAGCATATAACCATTAATGTGCAATCCAACTATCAGCTTAGGCTTTTAGTTGAGATGGAGCACATGCTTCAATTCTTTCCAATTCTGTTACAATGTGTTTCTTTTATATAATTCAAATCTAGATGGTTTGACTTGTAATGGCTGTGAACGAGAAAATGGAATAGGAATAGCAGTTTAGCTTGATGGTCAGATCTATCTTCTTCTTCTTGGTGCCATTTAGTTTGTATATACAAGGAGCTGTTCCGTAATATGGCTCTGCTGCCCCTATCCTTCAAGATGATGGTTAATTATCTCTGTTTGGTGGATCTTTGAAGACAACTCGGTCAGGGCAGGTCTCAATTTCTTTGCTTTGTTTGTTTGTTCCCAGTTTTGGGATTGCTCTATTCTTTCGCAATTTCTTTGTTTTGTTTGCTCCCGTTTTTGGGATTACTATATTCATTTTATTTATAAAAACCGATTTTTTAGGCCAGCTTCCTTAGCTCTCTTAGTGTTACTCGGTGTTAAGAAGATCTCTGGACATAATGTTAGTTTATTCATTTCTTCTGTCATTCTGTGTAGTATTTTTTGCAGATATGGAATTTTGTGCATACGAGTAATATGTTGTATCGCTATATGTGAGATCTGAGGCTGATACTTATCTTTCTCTAGCCAAGCTTGGACCTTTACATATATTTGAAGTCATTAGCCTAGCGCTAGCTGCATAGTTATGAGTTTGTCTCGAGCACAAGCTCGGGACTATCTTTATCTAGCCAAGCTGAACCCTTAACGTATTTGACTGACTTGTCTCGCTTTGGATTTAGTCATTGGCAAGATTTTTGGTGGGTGAAAACTCATGGATTCGAGTTCTTGCAAGTATTAACGATTTCATGAGCTTGTTAGAATCAATCTCAACTCGTATTGTCACGGGGAGGAATGGCATGTTTTTGATCAATTTGTCATTGCTGATTTGAGTTAGTCAATTAGTATCTGCCATGGCCTGAAGGTGTAGTAGCTGTGTATATGCTGTGATATATTGCAGAACAGCCATTGTCTTAGGAAGATGATAATAATACTATAATGCACCCCGAATGAGGCTCAACCGAGGCTTTTGTGGGATGCAGATACTAGTGCAGTATGCTAATCTCGGCATTTTTAGATCCATATGCCTTAACTTGGGGGTGTGGTTGAGTGGAATGGACTCATTGATCATTAACCAAAGGTCAAGGGTTTGATCATTGGCTTTGGGTATAGAACAACCTTAAATCTCCGGGCCAGCTGCCACATCCAAAAGAGGTGTCTACAATCCTAGCGATAAGATTAGTCGTCCGATGGTGAAAATCCTAGGTATACCAAAAATCATCCATAGGCCTTGAATGATTATTAGCTGCCTATGTAAGTTCCTAAATTCAATCTTTGAAAGGCCTGTATATCATTGCACGACAAATTTTACTGTGGACCATCATCCATCTAGCAGCGTGAATCATGAAGTAGGTGTCATTCTAATTACACACTTCAATTTCATTCTCGCACTTAAACAATTTTGAGGTATTCATACAAGTGAATTGATTGTAGTTCAATCAAGATGACAAATGAAATTGAGTTATACTATGCATTTTAAGTCTAACTTTTTATTCTTTAATCCCTAACATGACATTATAAAATAGAGCGATTTAAGAACATCAATAATGGTTAATTTCTTTTTGTGCCAAATAGAAGGGAGAAGGGGGAAAGATGAAAAAAAAAAACTGAAAAGGAAAAAGCAAAAATAAAAAAGGAATAAGGATTAAATAGGCCATTGAACTGCACACAATAATGCAATTAGGCCACTGAATCTTAAAAAACAACAATTAGGCCACTAAACTAACAAATTTCATTCAATTAGTCTAATTTACAGGTTTTGTAAGTTAGTAACTGGTCACCCAAAAAATTAAAAATATTTTTTAAAATTTTATTATTTAAAAATAATAAATTAAAATTAAAAAAAAAAGTTTCTTCGTTCTGCCGGAGACGAAGAAAGTTTCTTTGTCTTCGTCTCCGGCCATGGAGACGAACAAAGTTCTTCTTCAATGGCCTAATTGCATTAATCTGTGCAGTTCGATGGCCTATTTGACCCTTATTCCAATAAAAAAAAATAAAAAAATCATGTTACCATTTCCCCAGTTACGCTTCCAGCGTACGCGACTGGTGGGTGAAAGTGTAAAACACACACTATCATATCTCCTTTTTTTTTTCTCTAAAAAATACTCCATTTTTTACTCTCAACTTTTACTTTTTCTCACAAATTATTAATGTAGACACTTTTCTAGAGATCCACATAATAAAAATAAACTCACATCAGTATAATATAATCAATATTCTCTCTCATACACTTTCATCGTTCCATTTCACCTAGAAACCAAAAAAAGAAAAACATCGTAGATGCTCTAACCCATTGAATTTAGTCAAGAGCATAGGCCCAAGCAATGTCCTAGTTGTAAACTTGTAATGGCCCTAAGGCTCTCTTTACAAAATATCACATCGCTAAATTTGTAATAATTTACTATTTAATAAGAGATGTATGACTTCTTCGGAGAGAGAAAAAATAAACATAGACATAAGAGCTTGATCATGTTGGAACTTGGAACCATGCAGTGAGGGCGGGGTTCAGCTGTGGAGCAGTATTGTCGCGGGAAACAATGGAGGTTGGCAGACAAGGGTTAGAACCATCTATGAATCCCATGAGCCATGAGGTTATGTCCGAGCAAGAAAGGCACGACTTGAGTTCTCCAAAACAATAAATTTTGGGGGGTTAGTTTGATACTGATAAAGTGGTGAGCGGTGGATAGGAAATTTACGGTCATAGCGACCGAGGATGTAATGGCAACATCTGAGACAAACCGTTCAGAAGAGCCTACAGATCCGTCAAGAGTGAAAGTATGATCAGCCATGGAAACCCTAGCTAGCTTCATACTAGATGAGAACTGAATGGAATTGATTAATCACAAAGTTACAGATTACAAGAATATATATATACAGTGTATGAATCTCAGGGAGACTATGATACATAATCATAACCTAACTTAAATGCATAAAGTCCTAATATTTGTAAAGGTTCACACTTGTGTGCGACGGGACGGGTTTTGTTTGGTAAATATGAAAATGTAATAATATTAATTAGGAATAAAAATGTTTGTTATGAAGGGAGAATACACTTTCCCTTTTAAGTAATGTTGTCAAGTGTTTGTTATTTATAAGAGAAAAATGTAATACTTTTAAATTAAAATATAAAACTATTACATTTTTTTCGAAATATTACACTTCATTTATTTCTTATTAGTATTACATTGAGTTACTTCCATTTTTTGTCCTAGATCTATAAATGCAAGTCCACTTTTTTTAGAACATTCACTTTTAGTCATAGCATTATTCGTGGCATGATTATTTTTTGTCATTTATCAAGAAAACAGTTTAAATATCGTTAAATACAGAGACATTTCGATTATCAACCTTCTTTGTATAAAAAAGATTAAAATGTCTTTGTATTTAAAGATATTTTACGATTTTTTTAATAGAGATAACATAATAATACTATAACCAAATAAGAATATTCTAATAAAAAGGGACTAAAAATAATTATCACTTATAAATTTAGGAGCGAAAATGAAATTAACTCTATTACATTTGGAATATAAATATTATGGAGTACATTTTTATCACATATTTCATGATCTCAATCAACTTTTTGTTGTTGTAAAAAGACATTTTATCAAAATACACGTGGCAGTGATGGCCTTTTCTCTAGAAAACGCTCAAAGCTTCCTCGCACTTGGCAGGACCTTCTTCTAAAAGGAAACCGCTGAGACCAACGGAGACAGAGAGCGATGGCAGCGTACAGGTGGAAAAGCTTCTACGACGACGAAGATCGGCCGGAAAAGCCAAGGAGTTATGGCGTCACCGAAATGAGGTCTCCGCATTACTCTCTCTTCTCCCGCCCCCTCCTCCAGGTTCGTCCTTTAAGTCTTTCTTGTTTTCATTCAATATCCTCCGTCCAAATTCCTAACGAACTCTTCTCCTTTCCAAAAATAAAAAATAAATTATATCCTTCAATTGTGATTATACTTTCTGAGCAATTACTGTACATATCCATTACTGGTTGAGTGGTTAGTGAGAGAAATTCTGCCATGTTGCCTTCGAAATAGTATCACGTTTGTGAGCTTCACTCCTCAAACCGCTACTAGTGTTGTTATGTTCTTAGTCATATTAGTGCATTGTTTCGCAAGTTATACCATGACATGAGCCCCTGCGTAGGTTAATCGCGTTTTACTAGAATGTTCAATCACTATAATGCTGCTCCTTGAGCTTGAACTGTTAATTTTATCATCCTAATGTTCATCATATGTGAATTGATCTGGCTGATGACATGAGCCCCTGCGTAGGTTAATCTCGTTTTACCAGAATTTTCAATCACTATATTGCTGCTCCTTGAGCTTGAACTGTTGAGTCTATCATCCTAATGTTCATCATATGTGAACTAATCTGGGTGATAGTGTACCGATTGGAATTCTTTGAGATGTGGTATTGATAATATTCCGTGGATTTGAAGGGAACAATTACTTTTGATGGAAGGGATAGATAGCTCCTACTGTTATGTTTTTCTGATTACCGGTAGTAGTCAAGTTTGTTTTATGATCTCTCATGACATTTTTCTTTTTCTTTTCCTTTAATAGGATATTTTTGAGTCTATGGGGCAGTTTGTTGATGGGCTGAAGTTTAGTGGAGGATCTCACAGTATGATGCCAAAGACATACATCAGAGACGTAATTGACATGGCACATAAACACAATGTATATGTTAGCAGTGGTGATTGTGCTGAAAACTTGCTTCGCAAAGGTCCTTCACATCTTAAAGAATACATCGAGGTACACTGATTTTTTTTTTATTATTATTATTATTATTATTATTATTATTATTATTATTATTTTTAATAAATAAATCTTTTTCCTACAATTTCAT